AGCTGGAAGGCTTGCTGTGATAAATGGAACCATGAATTCTACTGTCTACCAAAACATCCTGAAGGAGAATGCCCGGCCATTTGTTGGTCAACTAAAGCTGAAGCAATCTTGGGTGCTGCAGCAGGACAATGACCCAAAACACACCAGCATATCCACCTCTGAATGGCTGAAGAACAACAAAATGAAGACTTTGGAGTGGCCTAGTCAAAGCCCTGACCTGAATCCTATTGAGATGCTATGGCATGACCTTAAAAAGGCGGTTCATGCTAGAAACCCTCAAATAAAGCTGAATTACAACAATTCTGCAAAGGTGAGTGGGCCAAAATTCCTCCAGAGCGCTGTAAAAGACTCGTAGCAAGTTATCGCAAACGCTTGATTGCAGTTATTGCTGCTAAGCAGTGATGGGAATAATGCCATTTAAAATAATGGTGTTACTAATGGCATTCTTTTTTTGGGGGGTAACGGAATAATCTAATTAATGACTTTTCCCACTGTTGCAACACCGTTACCGCTACTGGGGACGGAAGGTTGTGCGTTACTATGTGCTTGTCGAACGTTGAGCAACAGTGTGAGGCTTTCTGACCGCCACACTTCAGCTGCAGCCATGGAGAGAGGTGTCGGTAACGCACTTACAAACACGATGATGATTGGCCGGGTGGGCGGCGACCCTCACTGTCTCAGTCACTGCCTGCTGTAGACGCAACAATAACGCCGTTTAAAATAACCGCGTTACTAAAAAATGATTTCTTTCAATAACGAGCAAACTAATTAATTACCGTCTTTTTTATCAAAACGTCGTTTCTGTTACTGATAAGCAAATGTGTGCGTTAAGCTGTGCAGTGTGTTGAAGCTGTCATCAGCTGATCAGGAGCTAAAGAGGCAGATGTTTTCATCCAAGTGCATCACGGCCCGTGAAGAACGAGGAAGACATGATGAAAAGTCTACGGCTGCAGGTGTGGGTCTGCAGCCATGCCCTTCCTAGCGTGACAGCGGGACGTCCTGAAGGTCCGCTCACCTGTTCACTGCTCAGACGTCCTGATCGTCTACCTTCCTAGATCATCCAGCTGCAACCTCCTTCTGATCATGTCTTTAGTCCCGCTGTAACACTGATGCATCAGTCTCAGACGGCATGGAGCTCAGGTGTTATCAGAACTACCTGTGTGTGTTTACCACCCAGCTTCAGCTCTTCTGTGGTTGGGTCTGACCCACGTTAGTACATTTAAGTCCTCCATCAGGCTTGTGCCTCTTCTATTGTCATTTTAAAGGATTTTATTTATTTATTTAACCATTACTAGATTAGCAGCAACAGAAAGGCTACTAATAACACACAATTATGTGAATAGAATAGAATAGAATACTTTATTTGTCAATTTCTTCGAATGTGCTTGCCATACAAAGGAATTGAAATTACGTTTCACACTGTCCCATGCGTATACATTAGCATAAAGTGCAGATGCACAACAATAACAAAAAGAAAAAACATCCCTAACAGTAAGATAATATTAAACAGGTAAATATCGCTAATAATATACAAAACATATAGCAGCAGGTGTGTGCAATTGCAATGCAGAGGTAGTTTACAATCAGAAATGTTTACCCTGTTCTTGGTTCAACCACTATTTCCTTTTTGTATAATGTGTGTGTGTGTGTGTGTGTGTGTGTGTGTGTGTGTGTGTGTGTGTGTGTGTGTGTGTGTGTGTGTGTGTGTGTGTGTGTGTGTGTGTGTGTGTGTGTGTGAAGCTGGAAAAATTAAAATGCTGTGCAAAATTACATTCATTTCTGTAATTTAACTAGACTGAGAGACCATTTAAAGGCTCGGGAACCTTTACAGGTGTTTCTATTTGCAATTTTAAATTTTAGCTGATTGGGTTTTTGTTAAATATCACACAGTGATCGTTAATAGTCTAGATAAGTGTATTGTTCCTGTTAGTTCCTCCTGTTAAGTGCTTATTTATTTAAATTATTCAGGTTTATAAAAAACATTTTGACATGCATTTTATTATGTTCCAGTCATTAGTCATTTATACCCCCCCCCCCCCCCCCCCCGTGTCCTGTCTGGCTGTGAAGCAAACAGAATTGATGTCTGAATGCTGGTAACAAGCCTTACAGATTTACTCTCAGGTGGAGCATCAAAGCGTCTGCTTTTAATGTCACGCCTGATACTTAAAACTTTATTGTTGTTGTTTTTGAATGCTTTTTAAGTAGGGTTAGGGTTGGGGTCCCCAGCCCATCCTGTCAGGGCCCAAAGCAGCAGCATCACAGAGCCTCACGGAGTCCGAGGGCACCAACCCAGCCTCACCCCAGCAGAATATCTATGCCCATCCCTGCATTTGCTCAACTTCTGGATTATAAAAGACATAGGACATCCAGGTTGGGTCCTCCCCCTCCTGGACTTCCCCCTCCCCTGTGATGGGACAGCAGAGGAGCCAAGGTCTACCCGAGGCCCCTGAACCCGAGTCAGGCACTGCTGCATGTTCCTGCCTTCTCCCCGGCAGCGTACATGTTAGGACCCGACCCCCAAGGCACCGCCCAGATCCCCACACGGGGCCAGCCACCCCCACACCCCGAGCCCCCAGGCCCCCACCCAGACCCGCCCAGAGGCAATGCCGGGCAGTGACCCATGGCCACCGCCAAGACCTCCAAGGGGCCCCACTCACAACCGCCAGTAGTTCACCCCCCCCCCCCCCCCCCCCCCCCCCAAGGTAACCCAAGCACCTCCAGAGGGGAGCAACAGCCCCCAGTCCCAGACACCTCCAGTGAACACCATCTCCAGGGAACGTCCAGATACTCCAAACTCAGACCCTCTACCCCCTCACCCACATCATCCCGCAGGACAATATCAATGGTCCCCCGTCATCGCTGTGATGGAGCTGATCAAAGGAGCTGATCAAAGGAGCCCAGAGAGATTGATTTGAAGTGGAAGCAGAGGCTACATCAAGTGTAATATGATCTAACAAAAGATTTCTATACTGGTTAATGCAACGAGTTTCTCTATTTTTCCAATTCAAGAGGATAGTTTTCTTAGTGATGCATATGGCAGTCAGAACCACGTGAGCCAAAGATGTTTCAATTGGGACATCGTCCAGCTTCCCCAGTAAACAAAGAGAGGGGGAAGTTGGGATATGACATTTCAGATACTTTGACAGGTCTTCACATACTCTACCCCAAAATTCCTGGACAGGTGGGCAGGACCACAGTGCATGAGTGTAATTGTCAGGAACGTTGTTTGTGCAGTGTGTACAGGTGTCAGACCACACAAACCCCATCTTGAACATCCGATGACCTGTATAGTGTGCTCTGTGTAGAATTTTGTACTGAATTAATTGTAAATTGGAGCGTCTGATCATTTAAAAAGTTTTTAAACAAGTTTGGGACCAGAAGTTCTGGTCAAAGCTGACTGATAGATCCACCTCCCATTTTTCAATAGGGATTACTATTCTATCGTCTATTTTGGACAGTGTCTTATATACTTTAGACAGTAGTTTGGGGGGTTTGAGATTATAAAAGTCTAATACCCTTGGTGGTGTTTGTAATTCTATTTTATTGAGCTTACATTTTTGTTTTACTACAGATTTAATTTGGTGATATTCTAAAAAGCTATTCTTATCTATTCCAAATTGGGAGACTATTTGATTAAATGGGATGAAGTCCAATCCTTCATATATGTGTTCCAGGTATAGGATTCCTTTATTTTTCCAGTCCGGAAGGTTCATCATTTTATTATTTTGCAAAATGTCAGGATTATTCCAGATAGGTGTGCGTCTGCATGGTACTAGTGAAGACTCTGTCATTTTAAGATACTCCCACCATGCCGTCAGAGAGGTGCTGATACTAATACTTTTGAAGCTTTCATGTTTTCTTATGCTTGAGCTAATAAATGAGAAGTCTGAAAGCTCTATCGTATTGCAAAGTGTCTGTTCTATATCTAACCAGGACTCATCTAGTGGGTTATCTCGCAACCATCTTGGTATATATTGCAGCCTGTTGGCTAAGAAATAATAATAAAAGCTGGGTAAATCCAATCCTCCTCTGTCTTTGGTCTTCTGAAGCGTTTTAAAGCTATTCGTGGAGGAATTTGGTAATTGAGGAGTCCAGAGATTTAAACCAGGACTCTCAAGGACACTGTACAGATAAAACTTTACAAACATAGAAACAAAAAAGAAAACAAGTACAGGCAATTATTCAGCATTGCTAAAGATACAAATAAAATAACCAAGAGAATGCCAGCTGGAACAGATGGGTTTAAAGGTGTGCCTTGAAGGTGGACAGAGAGCCGAGGTTCCTGATATTAGGTGGAAGAGAGTTCCAGAGCTTAGGAGCGGAGTAGCTAAATGCTACTAACGGGAAAGCCAAAACATCTCCACATAAACAACTACTAAACCTCAATACTTTATCTTAATTGTTTGTGTTGGACTGAAACAACAAGCTACAGCAGGAAACAGCAGCTACATACGCCCTCTGGGGGTAAGAGGGCAAAATGATACTTTATTTGTCATCCAAACTTTCTTTTGCCCTCTAAATTTTAGTGTTCATATTTACTGTATTTCCTAGCCTGTTGGTGTTCTTGTCCTAAATCAGTATGATGAGAAGCTGAAAAGTTCTCAAAAACTTTCCAAGCAAGTTAGTGTCAAGCCTGGAGACCTTTTTAGTCGTTTGTATCAGAAGGATGTTCCCTGGAAAAGCAGTTGATGCTGATGGATCGACTTCCTGGGCATGTGTTAGTTTCTGTATCTGATGGCGACATTTTTTGAAGGAGCAGAATCTTGTTTTTCGACTTGTTTACATTGTTTGTGTGGATTAGCTCCATTTTCTATAGTGAACCAATAGTGCACCCATGTGGCTAAAAGGGGAAACTACAAGTTTCAAGGTGAAAACCACAAATGAAGCGAATACAAGAGGAATAATATTAATGAATTTGAAAACTAAGGCTGTAAATGTGCTCATTTTACTCCCAAATAACCAATTTATGAACTTAACACGACTACCATAAAAAATCAGTCTTTTGAATTTAACACATTTATTTGTAAGAATTTCAGTTTATAAAATGCTTCACTGTAATGTGCGACCACACGTATGCTTACAGTGTTTAACGTTGACCTCTTATTGGACTGTGAGTTGCTGTTTTCTTCAGTCACAGTTATGCTGAAATGATCAAGAACTGGTAACACCAGCAGCGACTTTCACAGCACAGCTACCTTACAGGATGATCTTCACAAGTTATGTTTACTTCAGCAAAAGCCAATTGACTTTGATGTCCGACAAGTGATTTTAGAAAAGGTTAGCTGCAGCTGGCCCAGTGAAGTAAAACCAATACAATTAATTCCTTAAACTTAATTATGAATGGATTGATCAAAGCTTCACTGTATTGTTTAAAAAGGTTTAATGGCGAGAAAACCCGACTTGAAACCTTCACATCTTGAACGTTGTGCGTGCATACAGTTAAAGCTTTTATCTGTAGTAACAACAATAATGAATAAGTAATGTTTTAAAGAGGTCTTCTGGTACACTTTAAAGATAAGGGTGGAAGCATCCAGGCTGGTAACAGAAGAATTCAGATCTTTCCAGGGAAACTCCCATCTTCTATCTGCTCATCCCATTTAGACACCTGTAAAAGATAAAGGAAATGAGTATGAATTCATAGAAATTCTACTTTACATGCATAACATTACAATCAATCAACTGCCAGACCCAAAGAACGTGGCAACCTCAACAATCAGACACCTAAATTGTAGGGTTTTTTTCTTTTACTGTTGTGAACTTAAACAAAAGCTGACATGATTTATGATAGAGGCCAAACTACTTCATTATGAATCTGACAAAATAAAGTATCAGAGCCACTAACCCAGCTGACAGGACAGAGGCTTTGGTAAACCCTCTGGTACCACACACAGGGGGACACATCCTGGCCTTTGGATGTCAAGGCCTTGTTGCACCGATGGAAATCTGAAGCACAGAAGAAAAAAAACAACATCAGATTAGTATATTAACATTTACCAACAATACCGATTCAAAGCCACAAATGTACAACACGTCGCCTGACTAAATTATTGTTGTTTAGTGACACAGGCACCAAACAGTCGTGAATATTTATTTATTGGTCATGTTCTCACCCAGGTAGTTCTGGTAGCAGTTGCGGGTCTGGTTGGTGTTGGGAAAGCGGGCGTCAAACGGAGCCGTCCTGTAGTTTTTGATCTTCTCATCGATAACGTCAGCCATTGTTAAGTGAGATCGAGGGGAGCTGAAACAGTAAAAGGTTCAAATAAACACACGGATAAAACGTGTTTATCTAAAGTTTTTTTCAAATGACAAACTAACCACCTTTAGCTAAGTTAATAGAGCTAAAACTAGCTCATGCTAGTTAGCTCGAAACTAACCCTTTTAAAAAATAGCTAAAACCCTATTTTTTCTTGTAACGCGCAAAATGAAATGAGATTATCGTTTATTCCATTGTTATAAATTAGCACACAAAAGAAACACAAATGAGACTATCTAAATGCTGTTCTTAAAAGCAAAACATTTTGGAGTTCAACGACTAACCTTGAGAACGCTAACGATCGTCTCCACCGGAAAATGTCAACTTGTGCGACGCGCAAAGGATGCTGGGATATGGAGTCGTAGGCTATTAATAGAGCTTTGCCGATGTCGTTACCCAAATGGATTAAAAGACAGACAAATTGATCATGTATTTGATTTTATGTGTTTGGAGGTATTTCTATCCTTTTCTTACCAATTTATCTTCAAAGAAATAGGAGTTTGAAGTTTTAGAAGGGAAATAACCAGATTGTGACTACAAATTTTTTTACTCTTGTTTTTTTTTCTCCAGCTTTAAGCGTTAGCAAAACTTCTTGCTTCACTGCAATTGACTGCAATTTTGGCAAAAATAAATAAATAAATAAATGTGTAACATAAAATTACTTTATTTACACTGATAGTAAGGTAACCGAATAGGAAAAAATTGCATTCATACCATCTCGCTTTCAGCAAAAAGATCCAGTAAATTGTGAAGTAGGCTACATTCATAGGCATCCCAAACTTGCAGTCTCAAGTTTCAAATCATCTGTGCCTTTACTGAAAAACATTCCTTGGACGTGGAAAAACCAGGTGGTGAAAACCATCCTTAAAGTTGCCCTTCACCTGTGGTCATCGGTTGCCTGTGTGATGTTGGAGCATTTTTGTTGCTGGCAGAGACGTGAAACCTAAAACCACGGATATTTACATCTATAAGCAAATGCTGACAGCCGGAGAAATCACAAATCTCCACTTTGGTCGGAGGTTTTTGAAAGAATTGTTTTGGTGGTGTTTGTCTTCACTTTCGAGAAAGGAAAGGGGAAAAAATCCTTTGTAACATTTGCACATTGAACCTTTACTTCAGAAAAAAGGACATATGACATAAACATGACTCATAAATAAGGGCAGATTTAAAAATGAATATTGGCCTAAAATTCTTGTTCCGCATACTGAAGGCAAAATTACCATCATAACAGGGTGCCTGTGACTCAGGTGTTAGCGTGTTTAGTCTTCTAATGGGTAGAGATGGGTAGCTAAAGCCATCAAATGTCAGAATGTCCTGGAGAAAGACACCAAATCCCACGTTGCTTCATTGTGTTTATCAGTTTAATGCAAACAATCCTGTTTGAAAGCCTCAAACCATTCTTTTTTTTTTTTTTGTAGTAAAAGGTAATTGCTCAAAATGGTTAACACTAAGCCACAACCAAAAAGCTTGAAAATCATATAGGCATGGAATAAACCAACAGATGTCTCACAAAAAGATGCTGGAAACCTTTTTGGGCTTTAAAATCAGATGATAAATATTTGTCGATGTCACGGAAAAACCAGTTTGATGTTTCAAGAATTCTATTTAAAGTCATCTGGGCAAACTGCTTTTATTTTTTGGGACTCAGCTAGTAAACTAAAAGTATTCATTCAGCCTAAATGCTCAAAATCTGAGTAATGGGACTGAAAATAGCAACTTTATCTCATTTGTGAAGCACTTTGCTACCACCAATCAATGGCCCAAAGTGCTGAATGCAAAACAATAATAGAAAGGTGATTTAAAAAAAAATGCACAATAAAATATATAAAAACCAAACCATAAAACATACTAAACTGTAAACCGGTTAGGGCCTAACTAGTTGGCCAAACAAAAGGACCAATGGCAACTTAGGTCGCCCTAAGATATCGGGTGAAGTTACCTTTAAGTTTCCTTTAAAACTCCATAGTGACGTTGAGCTTCCAATCTCAAGGGGAAGTTGATTCCACAGCTTCAGGGCTAAAACTACGTGACTTGAGCTTAGCCCTGTGGGACCACCAGTGGGTGCTTATCCAAGGAGCGCTGGCCTTGTGTAGGTACGTACTTCGTCAAAAGCTCTGCTAGGGTGGAGCTGTCTCTGCAAGTGCCTTAAATACTAAGACCAATTCTTCACCAACAACTGATATCGTCCAAAATTGGGGATACGTATGTGTTCCCACTTCTTCACCCCATATGTAAACCTGACGGCAGCATTTTGCAGCAGCTGAAGCTTGGCGGTCACAGCTTAGGGTGAGTCACAATAATCAGTTGTGATAGGACAAAAGTGTCTGAGATGACTACCTGCTAACTTTAATGACAGCATTAGGCTAATGTCACTGGTGCTGTACATTCGGTCCAAATTCAAATGCAAAAACTGGAAAAAATCGAGCTTTTAAATGACACGATCCTCATCTGTAAACTTGAGGAGTCCATAAGTCGGGACATTGGGACAGCGCTCTTTCTCTTTCCAACAGCATCTTCCTGTTAAAGCGTGGGTCAAAGGTCACAGGTGCCTACATCTAGCTTCCTGTCACTATGAGTGTGTTTCCTTCATCCTCTTTCTAGCAAACCCCCCAGTTAATGCATTTTCTCTGTTTTGGGATTTCGTTTTAGCTTTAGCATCCATTATACTGTGTCTGATTTGAATGGAAGCAGCATTCAGATCCTTGCAAGCAATCTTAGTTTTTTCTTTTATGTTTCATCCGGATGAGAAATGAACAAACCAGTTTCTCTTTGATACAATTGGGAAAAATCGGTACTCACAGTAAAACGCACCAAACACAAATATGTTTAAATTTACCCTTGCCTGATTTTCTACCAATCTCTCCCTTTCTTTTTGACTCAGCCAGGATATAGGTGTTGTCCAAAGCAAAGGAAGGAAACTCTGTCACTTGGAACAATGGGCCCGTTACTCTATCTATAGACCCAGAGCGGCCGAGAACCAGAGAGAGAGAGAGACAGCAAATCTATTGCTCTTTGAAAAGAAAACCTAAGAAATAGGTATTTTTTAGTCGGAATAGTACACATCTAATGGATTAGTGGAACCGAGGCCTTTAAATTATGGATTTTCATCATGAGGCGAGGCTACGTGTGAGAACTGAGGGTCTTTAGACTCCTTCTTTTACATGAAACTGGCTAAGGATTGTTATAACTCTGCAAAAGTTAAAGTGGGTAAGTCCGTTCAAAATATAATTAAAAAATCTTTCAGTGCAATTTTGCCTAGAGTGACAAAACCCGAGTTAACGTTCAGACGTTTAAGTCAGAGCTTAAAGAACAGTTGGTAGGTTTTTACAAAGGTACATTTAACTTTTCACCATAAAGGCTTGATTGCAGGTTGACAAACACGTGTTTTGAGCTTTTGTTTAACCAACTGTCTGAAATGAAATGGAAAAATGGACAGGCATTGACCTTGAAGTGGGATTTTCCCAGTCTCCGCGACAGCTGGACCTGAGTCCTGCAAAAACACGTTTCCTGTTTGAGAATGGGAAACACACACTCTGATTTTCAGGGGCTTTTTGGAAAGGAAGGCGGGTGATTTCTTTTTTGTTTGTTTTCACCATGTTGACAACCTGCTGCAGGTATCCTGTTTGTATTTTTTAATAATGACATCATCCCATTGTTATATTGTTGCATCCCTGGCATCTGTCACGGACACGAAGCTCGGCTACAGCTTGGAAAATAGCTTCACATTTATTATATCCAATCAAATATGACCGATTACTGAATTAACAGCTGATTGTACATTTCTTTCTTTTCAGATGGAGGGGCCTGGCAGTCCTCGCGTCAGAAAACTGCACTTCCCAGTTGGATTGTGGATCAACTCCCCCAGAAAACATTTTGCCAAACTAGGACGTCGCTGGCCGAGCGCCATCTCCGTCAAGTTAGTCAGGAAATACCTTCATAGTTTGATCATTTCATTAATCATGCCAGCTTTTATGAGACTTAACTCCCAGTTATCATCAGGGTGGTTAAAACTCAGTTTGTGTGTCTTATCTGATGAGTTTCTCTCAAGTCTTATTTTAGCCCTTGATGTTTTTCGGTTATATTTCCCAGCTGACTTCCTTTCTCCTTCCTGTTCCCTCCATCTGTCCCCCGCTCCCTCTCTGTTGTTTCCAGGTCGACTACCAGCTCTGACGCCACCTCGCTCCACGAGGCCCCCTCTGCTCCTTCCTCTTCCCTCTCTAACTCCACCCCCTCGCTGGCTTCCCCTTCTCCAACCACGTCTTCTTCCCCGGCCATTCTCAGGCCTCGACCTGCTGGCCCCCAGTCCCGCACAAAGCGTCTTTCTAATCTCTTTCTGCGAGGGCGCTCCAACAGCGACCGGGACCGGGCGGTAGGGGAGACGGAGAGAGACATTTGGGCTCACTCGGCTAACCCTGCGTCCCATCACTACCTGGCCCCTGGCTCTTCCTCGGGTCTGATAAAGATCTATGGGGATGCTCTCTACAGTGGAGCCAACTATCGCTCTCTGCTGGCCAACATTCACTCCACAGCCAGGCAGCTCATTGTCCAGGTCATCACTCGGTATACCGAAAGAGAAAGAGAAGACACGGATGATGCAGGTTTGAGGGATTCATTTGATGTCCATTACTGGCTTAAATAAACAAACCAATTGGCAATGGCCCAATAGAAACCCTACTGCCACTGTTAATTTTAAACTTCATTGGGACAATGGTGGGAGTGGAGTTAAGGGCCCACCCCTTAACAGGAGGGTTGCTGGTTCAAGCCCTGTTTGTCGTAGTTGTTTTGTCCTTGGGCAGGACACTTGACCCACCTTGCCGACTGGTGGTGCCTGTGTACGGCAGCCTCGCCTCTGTCAGTGCGGCCCAGGGTAGGCGTGGCTGCACTGTAGCTCATCACCATCGTGTGAATGTGTGTGAATAACTGGTTGCGTTGTAAAGTGCCTTGGGCGGCTGTAGAACCCTAGAAGGTGCTATTAGAAATACAGGCCTTTTACTATTCATCCATCCTCTTCTTTCTGCCTTTCCTTCATTACTCTCTAGTGGTCCAGAGACACAGCCCTGAGGACTTCCTGTTGTGTGATGTCATTGGGAAGCCTGTCCAGCAGCCAGATGGAGCTATCAAGTGGGAGACAGAGTGCCGCAGAAGTGTTGCCCCATGGGAGTGCCCTTTGTTGTTAGTGGACATGTGGCGGCCCAAGGATGGATTTGAGAGACGCTTTGAAATCCACAGGAAGGACGACTACGAGAAAGAAGAAAGAGAAAAAGAGAAGGAGCGGGAGGGTCACCAAGGTGCGTGTGTGTGTGTGTGTGTGTGTGTGTGTGTGTGTGTGTGTGTGTGTGTGAGACATGTGGCCGATGGGATGAACCTCTGGTTCTTAATGTGTTGCAGAGTGAAACTGGCGGATGATGTGGTTGTCTGTGCAACAGGTGTGCGCTGGAGGAACAGGATGCCATCTGGACCAGAGGAGGGCAAGCGCGGTCATCGCGGAAGGAACAGCGACCTTCGGAGAAGCATCAGTGACATGAACCTGAGTCTGCGCCGTCGCCATGGGAACCATGTCAGCAGCGATCCCCAGGGTCCAGGCAACCACCCGAACAACAGCAGAGGGGTGCAGGACAGAAAGAATATTGTGAGCATGATGAACCCACAGCCAGGAGAGGTAATGATCCTGATTCAGTTTTGTTTACCTAAAGCATCGCTGTGCATTGTTTTTGTTTTTTTTATTGTGTTCCTCCTCAGGTCAGAGCGTCGAGGGCCGAAGCGAAGGTCGGATGGACGAATCAGCCAGCGAGTGATGAGAAGGACTACTCCAGCTGCGACCTGGAAGTGATGTCACAAAGCCTGATCCTTCCTCCCACAGACCGGCCCTACTTCTTGTTGCTGCAGGGTTACGATCAGAGCAAGGCAAGACACGCTGACAATGATTTCATACAGACAAGCACTCATACACAACACCCCACCCAAAACGTGCACATAAAACACTTAGAGCGCTGTGGTGCACACATGTAAATGAATTGTTATGGAGCTGCGCGGGGAAACACACGTGCACACACACCCAGTATATGACATCATTTCTGCAGGTCTGTAATCGCCACATACCATCGAGGTTTCCATCTTTTTACAAGCTCCTCTCATTCTCGATCCAACACAGAACCCCTCTGTGCACATCACTTCATCTCACACAATGACCTCACACAGGTCTCCATTGTTACGACCTGTGACACACTTGAGTCCGTATCAACAACCTTGTGTTCAGCCTATCGTGAAGTCAACGGAGGAGATAACAGACCTCCCTGGTTCTCTGCTGTGTCTCGCGTAGGATTTTGTTTTGTACATCATGGCGGGACATACGCATGTGTTCGGAAGAAAACCCACAGTAAAGGAGAGAGAGAAGGACAGAGAAAGAGAGAGGAAGGGGAAGAAGCCTCTGAAGGTGGACACATTTTTGTCTGCTCCTGACCTCTTGATTAGACACCTGCTGGTCAGGAGAGATGCTGCTGTTCCAGAAGCAGCCACTGGACAAGGTGCGGACTCCCTTTATTGTATTTATTTAAAATCACAAGGTTAATTTGAATCTAATCCAGGTTTCATTCACTCCATTCCAGCTCTGATGAGGCCCTTTAGAGGAGGTGCAGTTACTCACAACGGAGTGGCCCTGTACAGGGAGACGGTCCTAAAGCCCGGGGATGTGGTTGGTCTGGGGGACCACTTCCTGTTCTTGTACCGTGACCCCCGAGTGACTCCTGCACCTCCGCTTGCACTGACGCTGCCGTGGCAGGCCGATGCCTCCGCCACCTGCTGCCCTTCAGGCCTGGTGGACAGGCAGGAGGCTTTGAAACTGTACCTCGCTTCTCCTGAGTCAGTTTTGAAGTTTCATCCTCGTCACGCAGACGACCTTCTACAGGTGAGACAGCTGGATGATAAACACCTCCACCTGTATGACGTTGGTGATCTACTTATAAAAAAAAATACCATGTTCGTTTTTGTTTTCCATCTCTCTCTCTCTCTCTCTCTCTCTCTCTCTCTCTCTCTCTCTCTCTCTCTCTCTCTTTCTCAACTTTCTCTCTCCTCCTCTCTCTACCTCTCTTTCTTTCCCGCTCTCCATCTTTTCCTCTCTTTCTTTCTCTCTCTCTTTCTCAACTTTCTCTCTTTTTTACCTATCTTTCTCCCCACTCTCTTTCTTTCTCTAACTCTCTTTCTCTCCAACTTTTCCTCTGTCTTTCTCCCGCTCTCTCCCCCACTTCCTCTCATTCTCTCCCTCTTTCTTTCTCTCTCTCTCTTCCTCTCTCCCTCTCTTTCACACTGGCCCTATCACGCTCTCCCTCGTTCTTCCTCTCCCTCTTCCTCTCTCTCTTTCTCAACTTTCTCTCTCTTTTCCTCTCTTTCTCTCTCTTTTTACCTGTCTTTCTCTCCCCTCTCTCTTTCTCTAACTCTCTTTCTCTCCCTCTTTTCCTCTTTCTCCACCCCCTCACTCTCTCACTCTTCCTCTCCCTCTCTCCCTCTCTTTCACACTCTTCCAATCATGCTCTCCCACTCTCCTCTCTCTCTTTCTTTCTCCCTCTCTCCCTTTTCCCTCTCTCTCCCTCTCCCCCTCTTTTCATCTCTTTCTTTTCTCCATCTCTCTCTCTCTCTCTCTCTCTCTCTCTCTCCATCTCTCTCTCTCTCTCTCTCTCTCTCTCTCTCTCTCCCTCTCTTTCACACTCTTCCAATCATGCTCTCCCACTCTCCTCTCTCTCTTTCTTTCTCCCTCTCTCCCTTTTCCCTCTCTCTCCCTCTCCCCCTCTTTTCATCTCTTTCTTTTCTCCATCTCTCTCTCTCTCTCTCTCTCTCTCTCTCCATCTCTCTCTCTCTCTCTCTCTCTCTCTCTCTCTCTCTATCTCTCTCTCTCCCACTCTCCTCTCTCTCTTTCTTTCTCCCTCTCCCCCTCTTTTCATCTCTTTCTTTTTCTCCATCTCTCTCTCTCTCCATCTCTCTCTCTCCATCTCTCTCTCTCTCTCTCTCTCTCTCTCTCTCTCTCTCTCTCACTCTCTCTCTCTCTCTCTCCCTCTCTCACAGGAGATCATCTCCAAAAACTCTTCTCCAGACTCAGGTGGGGGGCCGTTAGCTCCTGCTTATCTGCTGTCGATCATGATAGACCATGCCGCCAAGCACCTGGACCCCGCTCTCACACCGCAGATATTACTCAAATCAGCCAATCTGATCAAAGAAATTGTCTGGGTAAGCCAAATAAAAAGCAGGAATGTACCCAGACAAGCTACTGCATTACCTTTATAACCACAGATCTAAAGACTTCCATGCTTTGTTTTGTTTTTTAATGCTTCATCATTTAACATCTACTGGAATACTTTGAAATCTAGAGGGGCTTTTGGAAGAATCCAACATAATTACTTGTGTCCCGTGTTTGTACAAAATTTCAAAGCAATCCAGAATTTAAACCAAAGTTGGACCTGCTGACATGCTGCCTTCCAAAACACAACACAGCTGCTTTAGCTGCACATTCAACTAATGCTAAAAACTTTCTCTGATGTCCAAGCGGCTTAGTATGAACACTATCACACCTAAAGCTTCCAGAGTCAGATCATCTCATTTGTTCAGCCAAAGACCCTAAAGGCGGACGTATTGTCCCTCGCTGCGTCCTGCTTGGTCGTGAGCAGGAGTGAGGATGAGCTGAAGTCACTTCCCTCCTGCTGGAAACTTTTCTGTAATTGTCCTGGCTGCAGGGCTTGGCTGTGCAACCCCCACCCCCCTCAACACACACACACACACACACACACACACACACACACACACACACACACACACACACACACACACACACACACACACACACACACACACACACACACACACACACACACACACACACACACACACACACACACACACACACACACACTAAACAATGTGTCTCCATCTCTCGTTGCAGGATAACATTAAGGAATTTGGGGATAAGCATCCCACGCAAAAGTAAGAGGATTTTTTGGTTTCTGCGTAATGTTTCCTCCGTTTGGAGTCTCCTACTGAGTGACTCATGATACTTTTGTGCTTGCGCTGTTTTGTCTTTGGAAAATTTTTGTGGTATGATGATAACGTTGTAAAACTGTTGTTAAAAGAGGAGTCTCAAATGTAGCCACGCAATAATAGCTCGGCCTATTTTTACTCCCGGTGTGACGTGTTTCTCCTTCCAACCAAAACACAACTTTGGAATTACCGAAATGTTTTGTGCAGTTCCACAGAACAAGAAGGGGAGATCAGCACGCCGAATGTCCAAAAACTGTCGTCTGATCTGAGACCCCTCATGTTCTGGATGTCGAATGCCACGGAGCTGCTGAACTTCTTCCAGGTCAAAGTTGAAAACATGGAGAAAGAGTGGGAATTTGAAGGTAAGAGTGGAAATTACTGGCTTGAGTTGCCCGACAGTTTTAAATTAGCACCAGACGTTTTTTCTGCCAGCGCAGAAATAAAAGCTGCTGCAGAGCCTCTAATTGACCTCTGCTGATTGTTTGTTGGAAAGCCCCCGGGGATCCGGTTTTGACAGCTGACATGGACACCTGTTCAGAGGCTCTGGCACAGCTGGATGATGTCATAATGCACACCTTCCAGCAGTGTGTGTATCACCTCACCAAGGTAAATCAAAACAAAACAAACAGAAAACCTAATCTGCACTGCATGTTTTTTGAAAGATCTTATTAATAATTAACTTTTGTCAAACTCGTACATTTATTTAAGAAAGACTAGACCCTCATTTTGCCTTCTAGTACTCTTGCAAGTTAGTTCACGAGAATCTGTTAAAACACGGGGTTATGTGGAGCAGATACAGGCGGTCAGTATCTTACATGCTGTAAGTGATTTTGAACAACAGATGCAGGAATATTTAAGAACCAATTTATACAATCAGAAATATCTAAAACTTAAACGTTTTACAGCGGTTTAACTGATCATTAGGTATATCCACTGGTGTCTGCTATGGTGCAAGTCCACTTAGAAGTATTCTGAGCAGATGTTAGCGGGACTTGCTCTGTGAGAAATTCCCTCTAATTGTCCAAACTAAGATTACCCTCACCACTGTTTACTGCAGATAGAGCCCGGTCAGTATATGGTGGTTTTTAAAGCATTAGAGACCACACACACACACACACACACACACACACACACACACACACACACACACACACACACACACACACACACACACACACACACACACACACACACACACACACACACACACACACACACACACACACACACACGGTGATAAAAAAAAACACGGATATACCAGTCCTGCAGTGTGTGGTGTTCAGCAACTCGGAAAATCCTACCCACAAATCTCTTTCAACCATGGACATTCTCCAATCTGACTGGAAATCCTGTGAGATAAAATGAGACTTTAAAGTAAAAAAGCATGGTGAAAAAGCAGTGTGATGTGCGCGTCCGTCACTTGACTTTTTGATTGGCTACTAGTCACATTCAAAGGGTGGTACGTTCCAAAAATCAGACCGAGTCAATCCAAACAAAGCCCGGCTTTATAACTGAAGCAGTCCCGACATCCTTCCGAGCGGATGAGAGTGTTTGTAACACACCACAAAGGGGTAGGATTATCTGGTAAGGGTGCCTTTAGAGGCATTACGGTAATCGTACGCAAGTTTAAAGCCAGGAGCACACCGGAGACAGATGCGCCACGGTTTTCGTCTTCGTCTTACTCCGCTTATCCGGGTCCGGGTCGCGGGGGCAGCATCCCAATTAGGGAGCTCCAGGCCGTCCTCTCCCCGGCCTTCTCCACCAGCTCCTCCGGCAGGACCCCAAGGCGTTCCCGGACCAGATTGGAGATGTAACCTCTCCAACGTGTCCTGGGTCGACCCGGGGGCCTTCTGCCGGCAGGACATGCCCGAAACACCTCCCCGGGGAGGCGTCCAGGAGGCATCCTGACCAGATGCCCAAACCACCTCAACTGGCTCCTTTCGATCCGGAGGAGCAGCGGTTCTACTCCGAGTCCCTCCCGAATGTCCGAGCTCCTCACCCTATCTCTAAGGCTGAGCCCGGCCACCCTACGGAGGAAACTCATTTCGGCCGCTTGTATCCGCGATCTCGTTCTTTCGGTCATTACCCAAAGCTCATGACCATAGGTGAGGATTGGGACGTAGATCGACCGGTAAATCGAGAGCCTGGCTTTCTGGCTCAGCTCCCTCTTCCCCACGACAGATCGGCTCAGCGTCCGCATCACTGCAGACGCCGAACCAATCCGCCTGTCGATCTCCCGATCCCTCCTACCCTCACTCGTGAACAAGACCCCGAGATACTTAAACTCCTCCACTTGAGGTAGGACCTCTCCCCCGACCCGGAGGTGGCAAGCCACCCTTTTCCGGTCGAGAACCATGGTCTCAGATTTGGAGGTGCTGATCCTCATCCCAGCCGCTTCACACTCGGCCGCGAACCTACCCAGCAAGAGCTGAAGGTCAGAGCTGGATGAAGCTAGGAGGACCACATCATCCGCAAAAAGCAGAGACGAGATTCTCCTGCCACCAAACTCGACACACTCCACACCACGGCTGCGTCTAGAAATTCTGTCCATAAAAGTGATGAACAGAACCGTTGACAAAGGGCAGCCCTGGCGGAGTCCAACCCTCACTGGGAACAGGTCCGACTTACTACCGGCTATGCGGACCAAACTCACGCTCCTCTGGTAAAGGGACTGAATGGCCCTTAACAGAAAGCCACCCACCCCATACTTCTGGAGCGTCCCCCACAGGGTGCCCCTGGGGACACGGTCATAAGCCTTCTCCAAATCCACAAAGCACATGTGGATTGGTTGGGCAAACTCCCATGCCCCCTCCATCACCCTTGCAAGGGTATAGAGCTGGTCCACAGTTCCACGGCCAGGACGAAAACCACATTGCTCCTCCTCTATCTGAGATTCAACTATCGATCGGACCCTCCTCTCCAGTACCTTGGCGTAGACCTTTCCAGGGAGGCTGAGGAGTGTGATCCCCCTATAGTTGGAACACACCCTCAGGTCACCCTTCTTAAAGATGGGGACCACCACCCCGGTCTGCCACTCCCTAGGAACTGCCCCCGATGACCACGCAATGTTGTAGAGACGTGTCAACCATGACAGCCCTACAACATCCATAGCCTTGAGATACCCAGGACGAACCTCATCCGCCCCCGGGGCTCCGCCGCTGTGTAGTTGTTTGACTACCTCAGCAACTTCTGCCCCCGAGATCGGACAGTCCATCCCCAGGCCTCCCAGCTCTGGTTCCTCCTCGGAATGCGCATTGGAGGGATTGAGGAGCTCCTCAAAGTATTCCTTCCACCGTCCGACTATAGCCTCAGTTGACGTCAGCAGCTCCCCATCTCCACTGTAAACAGTGTGAGCGAGTTGCTGCCTTCCTCTCCTGAGGCGCCGGACAGTTTGCAAGAACCTCTTTGGAGCCGATCGATAGTCTTTCTCCATGGCCTCACCAAACTCCTCCCACGCCCGAGATTTTGCCTCTGCAACTGCCACTGCTGCACCCCGCTTGGCTATCCGGTACCTGTCTGCTGCCTCCGGAGATCCACAGACCAGCCACGCCCTGTAGGCCTCCTTCTTCAGCCTGACGGCTCCCCGAACCTCTGGTGTCCACCAGCGGGTACGGGGGTTGCCCCCACGACTGGCACCGGCCACCTTACAACCACAGCTAGCAACAGCCGCCTCGACAATCGCAGAGTGGAACAAGGCCCACTCGGACTCAATGTCCCCCACTGCTCTCGGGACGTGGTCAAAGCTCTGCCGGAGGTGGGAGTTGAAGACCGTCTTGACAGGTTCTTCTGCCAGGCGTTCCCAGCAGACCCTCACTATGCGTTTGGGTCTGCCAGGTCTACGCGGCATGTTCCCTTGCCATCTGATCCAACTCACCACCAGGTGGTGATCAGTTGACAGCTCCGCCCCTCTCTTCACTCGGGTGTCCAAAACATACGGCCGCAGGTCAGATGATACGACTACAAAATCTATCATCGACCTGTGACCTAGGCTGCCCTGGTACCAAGTGTACCGGTGGGCATCCTTATGTTCGAACATGGTGTTCGTTATGGCCAAACTGCGGCTTGCACAGAAGTCCAATAACAAAACACCGCTCGAGTTCAGATTAGGTGGGCCGTTCCTCCCAATCACACCCCTCCAGGTCAAGCTGTCATTGCCCACGTGAGCATTGAAGTCCCCCAGCAGGACAATGGAGTCCCCTGATGGAGCACTATCTAGCACTCGTCCCAGGGACTCCAAAAAGGGTGGGTACTCTGAACTGATATTTGGCCCATAAGCACAAACAACAGTCAGGACCCGTTCCCCGACCCGAAGGCGCAAGGAAGCTACCCTCTTGTCCCCCGGGGTAAACCCCAACACACAGGCAGAGAGTCTCGGGGCTAACAAAAAGCCAACCCCAGCCCTCCACCTCTCACCCGGAGCAACTCCAGCAAAGTAGAGTGTCCAACCCCTCTCCAGGTCTCGGGTTCCAGAGCCAATGCAATGTGTCGAGGTGAGTCCGACTATATCTAGCCGGTACCGCTCAACCTCTGCCACAAGCTCCGGCTCCTTCCCCGCCAGCGAGGTGACGTTCCATGTCCCAAAAACTAGTTTTCTTGTCCGGGGATTGGACCGCCAAGGCTCCCGCCTTGGTCTGCCACCCGATTCGCATTGCACCGGACCCTTCATGTTCCTCCTGCGGGTGGTGGGTCCACAGTTGGACGAGCCCATGTATCCGGTTCGGGCTGGGCCCGGCCGGGCCCCATGGGCAAAAGCCCGGCCACCAGGCGCTCGCTCACGGGCCCCAACCCCAGGCCTGGCTCCAGGGTGGGACCCCGGTAACCCTCCGGGCCGGGTACTCCGACTCTTCGTTTTAACCGCCATGAAAGATCCTTCGGTTTTGGGATGTTAAATGGCCAAACAGGACGCGCCGCTGAGCGCTTTTCGGAAAGTCACGTGATAGTCACAACATCACGTGGGACTTGACAACAGGACGCGGGAAGTGACTCTATTGTTTATACGTGATCAGACTTGCCGTCGTGTTTTGTGAGACTCTAATTCATTGAAAATGGGTAAGTATGATATTTCTTAGAATATTTTAAGATCAATAGCAGAGGTGAGACCAAGTCACTTCTTTGCAAGTCACACTTCTTTCCAGTGAAGTCTCGAGTCAAGTCCAAGTCAAAGACTACCAAGTCTAAGTCGAGTCCAAAGTCAATGATATGGCAGTCCAAGTCAAGTCCAAGTTCTTAACTTTGAATTGTCAAGTCATAATCAAGTCATCTGTCCAACTTCAATTTAATGACAACGATAATAAATAAATTCCAGGAATAAAGCTTCTTAAAGCTTCATTTATTTGCTCAAACAAGCAGAAAGTGCAACTGAACTTGATTATAAACAAAGTGCTGCTGCATTTAGCAGAACAACATCTAACCAGAACGAAGAAGGATTCATGATTTTTGTCCACGTCGTGCCACTTTTGTGCTAAAATATCAAATATGCTCAAATTATCATCAAGTCAACAGATGCAAGTTGATTCAAGTCATTCCCACAAGTCATTGGCATTCAATGCTGAGTCAAGTCGTAAGTCTTTATAGATTTTATCAAGTCAAGTCAGAAGTCATTAAAATAATGACTCGAGTCTGACTCGAGTCCAAGTCATGTGACTCGAGTCCACACCTCTGATCAGTAGTACTTTAAAGTGATCAAAACTGCGGCTAGGTTTGTGCCGTAAAGCGTTAAATGCCGTAATGTCTGTTGTAAAGTGCGCGGCGCGTGAAATAGAACTGGCACCTATCTTCAGTGCCTTGACGCGGCGCTGCCTGTGTAGCCACTCTCATTAACTATGATGGCTTTGATTTAAAACGACAGCGCTGGTGTGGCGCGTCTGTCTCCGGTATGACCTAGGCTTAAGAGTGTTGGAAGGGGCGGCACTGGTCAAAAATTCTGCATGATTATCCTGCCAAGTGAACCGGGTCTGAGTTGCACTCTGTGATTTCTAAGGTCACCCAAATTTTTTTTTTTTTAAAAAGGATCATTACTGAGTTATTTTCACATGAAATGCTAGCTTTTACCATTCACTTACATTATGTATGCTAAGCTAACGCTACCAAAATACTGCCAGATGGCTGGGCTGGATGCAAAATGACTTTTCCCACTTATTTAACTCCAGGGAATGTGGCAAAGACTAAATTTCATTTAGGGGTGGAATGTCCCTTTAACAACTCTCTTTGTGATTTATCTGGTGGAAGTCCATTTGTAAGAATCCATCTTTGGTTTTCATCTAAAATACGGTCATGGTGATTTAAAGTAACATCAGAATTCCATCCAATCAGGCGGGGTACACCCTGGACAGAGAGCCAGTCCATCGCAGGGCAACACAGAGACACACAGGACAAACAATCATGCACACACACACTCACACCTAAGGACAATTTAGACAGACCGATCAACCTAACAGTCATGTTTTTGGACTGTGGGAGGAAGCCGGAGTACCCGGAGAGAACCCACGCATTCACAGGGAGAACATGCAAACTCCATGCAGAAAGATCCCAGGCCAGGAAGCGAACGCAGGACCTTCTTGCTACAAGGCAACAGCTCTAACCACTGCGCCACTGCGCCCAACATCAGAGTTCTTAACACAAAAATATAAAAAGTAACCATGTATTGTAGATTTGGGATAAAACTTCCTGCCATTATGTAACGAATCAATAAGAGGGTAAATTGGATTAAATAAATTGCTTAAAAGCTATTTATTTTTATTGTCATTACTTGTGCTGTGACATTATCCATAGCTGTGATAATTATAGAACATCACCTGCTTGGTCTTCACGATGATTAGGCAGAAGATTCTTAGACTCGTTGTTTTTTCAGGGACTGTCATCACTTTGTTTAAGATTCAAGAACCAGTCAGGGGGGTGGGAGACCCAGAGTACAGAAGTCCGTAGACTAACTCCTAGTATGACCAGGTCGGTCCATGATCGCTTTCAGGTAACACAGGTGCACTGGATGGAACCCAGCATATCAAAACAACTCTGAAGGAGCGTCGCAAAATCAGCTTTGCTCTGCAGGAAAAATTACTTGTTGTTCGGCTTCGCAGGTGCAAAATGTCAAAATCCTTCTGGTCAAGGAGGCTTGCTCAGACGGCCGTTTTGAGCTTCTCTCTGTCTGTCTGACTTACTGAGACTGACGGTGAAGCTCTTTTTAAGGCCTGGTGTTATCTCAGAAGTTGCCAAGCATCTCAGAACACAGTCTTCCCGATGCTGGCCTAATGAGAGCAGCTATGATAACAACCATATGTGCACCAAGTTTTCACAGAAAAGCCGAAGTGTATTCAAGTCTTTTTTCTGTCCTATCGGCCCACACAGACCCTGTACTCTCTTCTTCCGGCTCTCCTGGACACAAACCCGTTTTCCAATGAGGAGAAGAAGGAGAAGGAGAAGGATGGAGCTCGGGGTGCAGAGGGAGAGGAGAAAAAAGAAGGAGAAGTGGACGATGAGTCCGTCTTGCCTCCTAAGGTCGCTGGATTGGTGGAAGTGTATCGCTGCTCCCTGATGCTGTCTCGAGAAGCGTGTCTGTCTCCGCCACTCACCTCCCAAACCTTTGGGTACCTCTTCTTCTTCACCAACACTTCCTTGTTGAACACTTTGCTCGAAAGAGGTGAGAGGGATACATCAAGTGCGATAAACATGCTCTCTTGTTTAAAGTCATTTCTGCAGTGCTTTGTTTTGTTTCATTCAATTTTTATTCATTCCAGATGGACTGTTTTCATGGTCCAGAGCCGTGCAGATCCGTACCAACCTGGACCTGGTTCTGGACTGGCTACAGGGGGCGGGGTTAGGTGACATCGCCTCAGAGTTTATGAAAAAACTCTCGGTCACTGTCAACTTCCTGTGTATTCCCAAAACACGACTCATTCAGGTAGCACGGCTTCGTGGCTAAATATTTACTAACACTGTCTCCATGCAAGTATGGGTTTGAAACCTGAACCAGAGTGACTAAGGCGACTGTAGGAATCCACAACAAATAAACCCACACATGCTTGAATGCTGACACCTAAAACAAAATTCTGCATACAGGTCAGGAACTTTGTTAAATTGTTAAGGTACACCCTGTAATTTGGTATTTAAGCTGGTATAAAAAAAACGATGGACCAAAAGAATTTAAAAGTTTTTCTTGAAACAAGAATAAACCAAAAAAGAATGAGAGATTTAGTCAGAATTACGATGAAGGGAATATCTGTTCATAGACTGTTGTTGTTCTAGTTTTTTTTTTTTTTTACCTTGAAGAGGCCTTCACAGGCTTAAATTCCCTCTCATTATTCCTGATTTACCGGCCGAGCTACGTTCCTACCCTCACCCATGGTCTTTAGGTATTGACCGAAAGAACGAGATTGCCGATACAAGCGGCCAAAATGAGAAGCTCGGTCACCGGGAGGAGCTCAGAGTAGACCTGCTGCTTCTCCACATCAAGAGGAGCCAGTTGAGGTGGCTCAAAGACCTGGTTAGGATGCCTCATGGACCCATCCCCGGTAAGGTTTTCTGGGCACGTCCAACCGGGAGGAGACCTACAGGAAGACCCAGGACACGCTGGAGCAGGACACGTTAGGTAACACCTTTGGATTCCCTTAGAGGAGCTGGCCCAAGTTGTTGGGGAGAGGGAATTCTGGGCCTCTCTGCTTACATGACCCGACCCCGGATATGTGGAAGAAAATGGATGGATAACCTCTTTATCAAATTATGGCTACCTTGAGCAAGAGATGCACTGATTCTGGGTTTGAAGGCCAATAATGGTTCCTATCAAAGAACTACAAACTTATTTAAAAACCTCGTGAAAGATGGGATGTTGTAGTTTCAGAGTGGCTAGTTCTAATCACCAGCTGATCTTTTGACTCAACATTAGTTCTTATCAGCACTCCAGTGATGATCCACTGAATGTATTTTTCAACAGCAAGTGTGTAAACATTGAATGAACTAAAACGATGTGAGCAGTGTTGTGCCCGAACGTGTTCATTAAACGATCGTTCGTGAATTCGTTCATTTTTTCGTGAACGTGAACTGAACTCGTTCGTATTTTGCCTGACGAACGTAAAAGTGAGTGCTTTTGTCCTGGCGTGCGTGAACGGGTTTGTGAACGCGTTCTTTCGCCGTTCTAGCTCCCGATCTCCACGGAGCATTTCCGGAGCTAAAGCCTAGCTAAAACATCCTGTTAACCAGAATTTATAAAAAGTAGAACCCGCAAATGCGGCCAATCATAGGCAGTAGCGGTTGGTGCAGCGTCTACTCTTCTACGTCTATGCTGTGTGCAGGAGTCAAAGTTCATTCAGAAAAACTGGAAAGAGACTTAACTGAAAGATTATACAGTTTTTAATGTTTAGCACTTTTAATATGTTTAGTTTGCTACCTCAGCCTGCTTCCCAAGACTGTTTAATAATTTCCCATAAAAAAATGTTCAAATAATGTTTTCCTCGTGTTTTTGAGAATTTACTGTAGGGTAAAAACTGCAGCTGGGTATGAGTGCGGACTGAACAGGTGCCACTGCCAACTACTGGAAAAATATTTCATAAGTTATATATATATATATATATATATATATATATATATATATATATATATATATATATATATATATATATGAGAAAAAAGAACTATGAACTAGTTCATTTTTGGAACAGTGAACTTAGTTCAAATTTTTTAAATTATGAACAAAGACACGAACTAGTTCATTTTAAAATGTATGAGCTGAACTTTGAACTAGTTCGTTTTTTAAACAACCTTTCCCAACACTGGATACGAGCAGGATACTAACCATTTGTGTTTGTATTTGTCAGTAGAAGTATTGTAGGCACGTTTCTGCTGTCACACCTGACTGGGAAAACCTGTGCCATGTAGGATTGTTTTGATGTGAGCATGAATCTAGTCTTTACTGCTTCAAAGTTGCGCCTGTGTGTCTAGACACGTGTCGAAAGGACGTCACAGGGACGAGTAATCAAACCCCGATTCCAACAACCACAACATTCAAGATGGCCGATAACAGCTTCACACTCAATAACATGTTTATGGACAGAAGAACAATAATTCAAATGTTAGAATCCTGAACACACCTTTGTGATAGCTGCTTTGTTCCGTAGTTTTGAAAATAGAAATGTTGACTAATATATAAGCATAACATCAAATATCTGATCTTCTAGTCGTCCTGGGCTAGTCTACAGGAAGAGCATGAGCTCTTAAGTCCTGCCCAACTGCACCACTTGCTCACCCATTACAAGCTGGGACCCACCAGAGCTCCACCTGCATCCTGGGCTCCTCCAACCAGCACAGATCTAAGTGGAGGTCATTTAAACAAAACCAGTACGCATTCATTATTATGTTAAATCTGTTGATTTTAACTTTTATTCTGTTATCTTTTAGACATCTTTGAGAGTTTTCTGGACCACCCTCCTCTTATCTTGCCCAATGAGACGCCGCGCCTCGACCTCTCCCAGCCAATCCCGAGCTCTGAGCTCCAAAAGGAAGTGACACGACTCCGCACCTACTTGTGGGGACTCGATCAGGACGAGCTCCCGGCCAATCAGAGGACTAGGCTTTGAAGAGGAGGGTGAACGCCAGAACAAAGAAGGAAAAGAACAAGACGTGTTTCTTAAATCTGACTTTTTGTTGTATTTCCTCTTATCTTCATATCATTTGATTAACAAATTAAAAATAATATTCTTGAACTAAGCAACTATACTGGGTTTGTTGTGTGTTTAAAGGTGTGGAAAACTTACTTTAAATTTTATTTCTGTTTATAATCGGCCACTCTGAGTTTTTCATACAGGCTGAACATGAAAATAGTCTCCTACACCTATTTCCTGCATTAGCTTCTGACAGAAAATAGGCGGTGAAACTCTAGGATTAGAAAAACCAGACAGATCTACGTCACACTGTCACTTAGCATTCATGGACTCACCCATCTTGACTCACGACAAGGAAGGCTGTTGTTGGTTCAGCGTCCAGGAAACACCAGAGAACATATCGGCTAGTAGAAGCTAACCGTTAGCAACTCCACCACACTGCAGAAGCTCCTCCAGGCTTGTGTTATTTGTGGAGATAAAATCATAATGTTGGACGTCAGTGGTTGAGTTCTGTTGCTGTTATCCGATCTGAGGTGAGATATCCAAACATCAGGAAATAAGACTCCAAATCCTGCCGTCTGAGCTCACCTGTGCTGTGGCTCACTTCCAGTTCCTGGAAACGGTGCACCGGTGTCGCCGTCTCACTGCAAATCTATTGATTAAACGAGGGTTCCACACCTTTAATGGGATTCACTTTAAAACGGAGTAAACATACATATCAGTTATGGTTTCTGTGACTCTTTTACTTGACTTCCACGTCTGTTTTCAAACGACCTGTTTTTAATAAAACACCCAAATTCTTGTCTGAAAGACCAACGGTTTCCGCTTGGCTTTTGTTTCCCACACCAGTGCCCCTGGGGCTTGGCACGCTTCTCAGCTCCCAGGCGCACAGAAATAAATCAAATCAAAACATTCCACAAGGTGGCGACGCAGCACTCGTTCCCCTCTGACGTTAAATGATGAGTCTGCAGGCTTGACTAAGGAGCTGAGACGTTGTCATCTGCTCCAAAAGCACCAGCTCATGCTCTGTAATCGAGTGCCGTTTCACTCAGGGTCATGAGCACACACTCCAGCACCGGAGTTCGCTGTCGTCAGTTCTAAATCCGATTACCCAAAAGCTGAGGAAAGGATTTGATTTTCTCCAGTAAATGACATACATGGACTTGTAGGGTTTCCAGTTTAAGTAGCAACCAGCAGTCAGGTGGCGAAGTTCAACCAGTCGTCAGAATTTCGTCATTTCCGGTCAGTTTCGCTGTCTAGTCTGCCAGACGTCTTATGTAAACACCTCACCTCTGTCTTTGTTTTCAGAAGCTCGCTGACGTCTTACAAGCTGTCGTGCTGCTCCCTTTGGTGTGCAGCCAAACGTTTTCCTCTCTTCCGGTCAGCTCCTCGAACTTCCCTTACAGTAAAAAGCCTGACTTAACACCGGTCCCGTGAGAAAGCCCCGCTTACATCATCCCCGTCGCCTCCGGTTCTCTCCCCTGGTTCCTCGCTGAGCCAGCATCCAAAACACGGACAGTTATAGAGGATGAATCACGTGAGGAAGATCACTGTGTGTGTGTGTGTGAGGGGGGGGGGAAATAATCAATTAGGTGATTGTGATCACTCTCATTTGAGAGTCGATGTGGTGAATGAGTGAGAGTGAGGCTGTGTTTGTGCGCTAATTTCAGCTTTCCAGCAATGCCGTCTGTAGCGTTGTAATTAAACACAGACGAGGCTCAGACTGGTATAGGTCTGTGCCATGACTGGGTGATAAATACGGCAGTCTGGTGACCGCTGCCTGTTGTGATACGGGAGTCTAACAAAGACGGTTCAGTAAGACGATGACACATTCTGTTTCCTCTGATCTGAACCACTGACTTTCACCCAGATCTACCCAGAAACACACAGACACTTCTTCACCCAGGAGCCCCACACCTGTTGAAGCGGCTCTCTGTAATTAGCTCAGCACAATCATTATTGGTCGATAAAAGGAGGGGGGGTTCAAGACAATGGGGCAGTCATTCAGGACCTATCATCTCCTTCTCTCCCCTCGCTGTAAAGTAATGAGAGATTCGTCCCTTCTTCAAAGAGACGGAGTTTCCTACAAAACAGCTGAGTCAGAGGAGAAAAGAAGCGAGGATGAAAAGAAAAGGAGAACAGTAGGGAGGCGAGTGTGTGCTGTGAGGCTCAGTGGACCACAGTGATTGCGCTCGTTGTAATGAACACAGGAGTAATTTTCAGGAACCAGAAAAAAAAAACCCCGTGGCTCTCACACACTTAGCACAAACAGCTACAACCTGGCAGGGCTTCGGTATCTTATCTGGCAACACTTTACCTGAGCCCTGCGTCATCCCAAAGCCTGGAGTACAAAGGGGGTCCTCAAGTCACGCGTAATGTCAGAAGGTCAGAGCGTGAGGTCTTCCAGGGGAAAGGACAAAGCTGCTGAGACGTTTTCTATCAGGAAACCCGAGGAGAAAGTATGAGGTCCAGACTAGAGCGGAGTGTGGTTTGTCATTTAGACGATTAAAAAAGCCCGACTGTATGAGACGCATTCGCCAGAGAGTCAGCTTCTGAACTAAAACAAAGTGAGAGTGGAACATTTTGCACGGCCCGGAGCTGACTCCTGCGTTGAGGCCAGGCAGGAAACGAGGGAGCAGGGGAATCTTTGTTAGGTCACGAGCAGACGGAGAGACAGACTGGGGGTGTAGGAGCTGACCGGAGAGAAGGCCAGAGGTGCAGGGAGGGAAATCTTGTCTGCATCTGACAGACGGTGGATGAAATGGACAGCAGAGCCTCGGCGAGGTGACTAAAAGGCCAGGCGACGGGCTGCGGTTTTCCTCAAGGGACAGATCTGCTTCCTCATGGTGACGTCACCAAAACATCAACGTTGTTTTTGTTTTCTCTTTCGGAGCTCCGGGGTATAAAAGAGCTCCTGTGAGGTCAGAACTTTAAGGCCATCCACTGTTAGTAGGGCAACCAGGTCGAGCTTTAAAGTCTCACCGGCCCTACAACCACCACCACCAACCGCCGTACCTTACCCAGCCCTGCCCGGCCTCGTCTCTACTGGCGGCTGTCTGTCCGAACCTGCTGCTGCTTCTTCTCTCAGGCAGCAGAGCGTTTATGTGTGTGCTGTTCAGTTTGGGACAGAGCCAGTGGCATCAGTTTGGAACCTGCGGTCTTTTCCCCTTTTTTCATCCCCGTCCACCTTTTTCCTTCCTTTCGTCGTCTTCCCTCCTGTTCTCGCTCAGCACCTTTTTCTCGGGCCTGGGGGGCTTGTGGGCCTGCGGGCAGGGGCCTTCTTCCACCAGCCTGGGGCTTCTGTCAGAGTCTTGTTCCATTTTGCGTCATGGTGTTGACTGAACGGACCCCACACTTAACTCCCATAGAGCAATGGGGTTGGGCGGCAGGGCGGCCGGCGTGGGCTAGCCTGGCCCCGTGTTCAACGTGGTAATCTGATGGCAGTGTTTATTTTATGTAGCTCTCCTTTGATGGAGCAGCAAAAGTCTTTGGGCTTTTTGTTTCAGCACTTTCATTGCCAGGTCAGAGGTGCTCGCCGTGGTTACGCTCAGGAAGAATAATATTTGCCCTTATATTCACTCCAAACAGGCTTTTTTCCATATTAGTGTCAGGGATACTCTCTGGGTTTCTACCTTCCACTGATTCGGCACATTGGAGGTAAAGGGAGGTGGCGATGGCGAGGGAGCTGCAACTCAAAGGCATTGCTCCCTGGGGCAAAACCCCGAGTGTTCCCCGTAGGCGTGTTCGGATACCTCGAGCAAACCCCTGTCGCTGTCGAGTGAAGCTCTGAGAGACAAGCCTGTAGCCGTGTGCACGAGTCCCAGTAGTGAAGGAAAAAACGAACTCATAAACACATGAAAACACTCTCCCTCCTGCTTAGCACCCTCGGGCTCCACCTCAGCTGTCAGCCGTCCAAACTTCCCAGGGGTTCTTTTTAATAGAGTTACCAAAAAGAAGGAAAAAAAAGAAACAGTCATCTTCGCGGGCCTTGCACTGCCTCAACTCAAAGCTCACACACCCACCTATGTGCCTTGTGTCAGCTGTTTCAGATGGGTCGAAAAGCCATGAAACCACACCAAGTCGTTATGTGAGATTTTGACCAAAAATATACTAAACAGAGGCAGTCTCTAACGCTCGCTGGATCCAGTTCTGACCCCGGTTTCTTCTGCACAAACACGCCATAAAGCACAGCAGAATTCTCACGGATTGGCCCTTGTATTTTTGTTCTGCACTTATTGTTTCTCCATTAAGCTTTTACCACACAGATCTGACCCAGGAGAGGTCTCGCGTTGTCATGAATGCATGCCTTTCACTTTGAAGATTAATTAATAAAATAGCTTTTGGGAAAGGAAGCCCAGACTGTGGCTGGAAATACTGTTTATCTGTCTCAATATTGGTATTATAATTGGCCGAGGATTACGCTGTGATCATGATATTACAGGAATGAATCGGTTTCATTCAAGATAAGACACCCTGGGGAGTTTTATATGGATAATGTTTCATTTCCTTTCTCAGTTCATTATTTATAATCTGAACACAAAAAGGACTGGGCTAAGGCCAGATGTGAACAATAGGTGAGCATTTAATCACGCACACACACACGCGCACACACACACATACACACACACACGCGCGCGCACAAAGATTACATAAACAGAAACTAGATCACCATCAACCGTCTTCTCTTATCTTGAATGTGAAGATCCATGCACAGGAAGGATTGTTACACCTCCTGGCTCCCTCCATATATCTCATTATCCACTTTCAGTTTTAACACACTGGACTATTTTCTGCCCCCCCCCCCCCATGTAAAGTATGTACCTAGTAACAACTCAAATTAACCTCTCTTCTGATGTAGTCCAGGGGAAACAACAAGGTAGAGGAGGAAATAACCAGGTTGCATGTAATCTAATTTGTCCTGTTGCAGTTTGGTGACTTGAAACAGTTTTCAGGTGGCTGCTCTGAAAGTCTGTGCCAGCAGCCTGATAGAAATCTACGTAGGCAGTCAACAGGGCACCGATGTAAAGTCTGATTTGCAGAGGAAGCTAATCTGGATCATTGTTTGACCATGTTGTGTCCACGAAATTTGAAAGCTTCTGCAGACGGTGGAACGAGACAGATAGCCAGGTGAGTCAGTCAAACCCAAGGATTTACCAGTCAGAAATGTGAGATGTTGTCATGGGTGATTCTGCAGGTTGAGTGCTTTGCAGTCTTGTTTCTGGTTTTATTGTATTTTTGGTACTTCCTGTTTTATTTTGTGCATTCACTTCCTGTCTCATTACAGGCAGCTTCACGACATGAGGCTCCTCACTAATCTGCCTCATGTCTTGCACCTGGGTCCTGGCTTCTCTATTTAAGCATCTTTGCAACAGTTTCCTTTGCCAGTTTGTCTTCTTCAGTTGAGTACTGTGAACCTGCTCTCAGTAACACTTTGTGAAAGTGTATTTAGTTAGTTTTGGACTTGTTCAGTTGTGCTGTACTGCCAGGAATCCCTTCTGCTGATTAAAACTGTGTGAGCTCTGCATTTGAGTCCTCTTTGTGCTTTGATAGTACAAACTGGCCAAAAATGGACTCAGCAGGCTCTGACTCAGTTTTGGGGGCCCTGGGGGCTCAGGGGAAGAGGCTCCTCCAACAGGAACAACAGATGAGCCTACTGCACCAGGAGATGGGGCAACTCAATGCTCGACATGATCAGTTTGCTACCTCTGTCAGTGATCAACTCAGTTACCTGGTGGAGAAGGTGCAGCAGCTCCAGACCTCTTCAACCCAGCCTCCAGAGAAGAACCACATGCCGCAGCCCCAGAGTAACGAG